AGGTGAAATTGGGTTTAACGTCACATCCAAGATTATTGCACTTATATAGCGACGTGCATGCACGTGTATGTGTGTGTGTGGCTGCTTGTACTAGTCCGGACTGATGCCGATTTATAGTGCTAGCTCACTGAGATACCATGCCGCAGTTTAACATGAATACCCCACTCAGACACAGTATGCTGACTCCAAGCCGACCAGTACTTGTTTTAGCCCCTTAATGCCGAGCGCCAGACAGGGTAACAACAAGTACCATCTTTTAACGTATTTTGGTATGACGCGGCCGGGGATCGAACCCCGGACCTTCCGCTCTCCGGGCGGACGCTCTACCACTAGACCACGGAGGCGGCACTACTGACAAAGGGAAAACCCGAATAGCCAACTAACTACTAAACCAATACGGAAGATATGGGCACCAAAGTAAAGCGATCAACATTTATAAGCTATCCAGCGATACCACTAAAGACATACAACCAGCTATGTACAGTTACTGAGGTGGCCAAAATAACCTGTCCATATTTTCATGAGAAATATCTTCAAGTATGAAACAATATCTTTACTGCGTGCAAAGGTACTAAAACATTTTCCATACAAGAATAAGGTAGCAAAGGTATATGAGATAACATATATCAAATCAATACATGATAAAGGTATGCGATTAAACCCCAAGACAATAAATTTACAGGTCACGAATTCTCTAATAATGAATGCAAAAATATTGGACAACGATGACCGCCGGACTTTGCCGATTGGTGACGGAAGCCGGAAGAGGGAAGCGGTGTATCAACTAGACCGTGACTAGACCAGTGTTACTACCCGGTGACATTGGAGAACGCTTCAATGTCAAAGTAGATTATGTAAAATCGTTGTCTGAGAGTTATAAACTTAAGTTATATCATGTGTTATTTTTTTTTAAACTTGAACAGTTTAGATCTCGAACAATCGGCTTATAATGGAAAAAAATTAGAGGAGCGAAGAAAGTCAGGACCCCGCAATTGTGTTGTAAAATAGTACAGATATATAAACTTGTATATTATCTAAAACGGTCAACTATTTGAAGTGAATGGAAAATATGTAATTGTATATATGTCATTCAAGGTCGCCGATTTAAATTGAATAGGTCATATAATTAGGGTGTGTATCTTACATAACAAGGTCAAAGATTTGAATTAAATAGATGTATTAAGGTTTGTGTGTCATATAACAAGGTAAACTATTTGAATTACATTGGAGATATAGAAAGGTATATATGTTATTCAACAAGGTCGCCCATTTGAATTACATAGAGTGAGTGAGTTGGTTTTAACGCCGCTTTTAACAGTATTCCAGTCATATCACGGCGTGTCAGCTTAATGTGGGAGGAAAGCCCGAAGTGATGCAGGTCTAAGACGTTTACCACTTCGGTGAAACCCACGAGCACGGGTATGGTGCTGAAAAACTTAGAAACATAATCGGAGCGAACTGGGATTCGAACCCACAATCATAGGTTTCTGGCGTGCCCAAGGATCGCAACTCTGCACAGCGAATTGCGGCGGAATTACATAGAAGATACAGAGAGGTATGTATGTTATCTAACAAGGTCAACTAATGGAGGTAAATAGTAGATATATAAAGGTATATTTGTGTTACTCAACAAGGTCGCCGATTTAAATTTTATAGGAGACACAAATATTAGGATTTGTATTATAATATTATGTAACAATGTCAACTATTTGAATTAAATAGATGTATTAAGGTTTGTATGTCATATAACAATGTCAACTATTTGAATTAAATAACAGATGTATTAAGGTTTGTATGTCATATAACAATGTCAACTATTTGAATTAAATAGATGTATCAAGGTTTGTATGTCATATAACAATGTCAACTATTTGAATGAAATAGCAGATGTATTAAGGTTTGTATGTCATATAACAATGCCAACTATTTGAATTAAATAGATGTATTAAGGTTTGTATGTCATATAACAATGTCAACTATTTGAATTAAATAGCAGATGTATTAAGGTGTGTATGTCATATAACAATGTCAACTATTTGAATTAAATAGATGTATTAAGGTTTGTATGTCATATAACAATGCCAACTATTTGAATTAAATAGCAGATGTATTAAGGTTTGTATGTCATATAACAATGCCAACTATTTGAATTAAATAGATGTATTAAGGTTTGTATGTCATATAACAATGTCAACTATTTGAATTAAATAACAGATGTATTAAGGTGTGTATGTCATATAACAATGTCAACTATTTGAATTAAATAGATGTATTAAGGTTTGTATGTCATATAAAAATGCCAACTATTTGAATTAAATAGCAGATGTATTAAGGTTTGTATGTCATATAACAATGTCAACTATTTGAATTAAATAGATGTATCAAGGTTTGTATGTCATATAACAATGTCAACTATTTGAATTAAATAGCAGATGTATTAAGGTTTGTATGTCATATAACAATGCCAACTATTTGAATTAAATAGCAGATGTATTAAGGTCTGTATGTCATATAACAATGTCAACTATTTGAATCAAATAACAGATGTATTAAGGTTTGTATGTCATATAACAATGCCAACTATTTGAATTAAATAGATGTATCAAGGTTTGTATGTCATATAACAATGTCAACTATTTGAATTAAATAACAGATGTATTAAGGTTTGTATGTCATATAACAATGCCAACTATTTGAATTAAATAGATGTATCAAGGTTTGTATGTCATATAACAATGTCAACTATTTGAATGAAATAGCAGATGTATTAAGGTTTGTATGTCATATAACAATGTCAACTATTTGAATTAAATAGCAGATGTATTAAGGTTTATATGTCATATAACAATGCCAACTATTTGAATTAAATAGCAGATGTATTAAGGTTTGTATGTCATATAACAATGTCAACTATTTGAATTAAATAGATGTATCAAGGTTTGTATGTCATATAACAATGTCAACTATTTGAATTAAATAGCAGATGTATTAAGGTTTGTATGTCATATAACAATGCCAACTATTTGAATTAAATAGCAGATGTATTAAGGTCTGTATGTCATATAACAATGTCAACTATTTGAATCAAATAACAGATGTATTAAGGTTTGTATGTCATATAACAATGCCAACTATTTGAATTAAATAGATGTATCAAGGTTTGTATGTCATATAACAATGTCAACTATTTGAATGAAATAGCAGATGTATTAAGGTTTGTATGTCATATAACAATGCCAACTATTTGAATTAAATAGATGTATCAAGGTTTGTATGTCATATAACAATGTCAACTATTTGAATTAAATAGCAGATGTATTAAGGTTTGTATGTCATATAACAATGTCAACTATTTGAATTAAATAGCAGATGTATTAAGGTTTATATGTCATATAGCAATGCCAACTATTTGAATTAAATAGCAGATGTATTAAGGTTTGTATGTCATATAACAATGTCAACTATTTGAATTAAATAGATGTATTAAGGTGTGTATTCATTCTAACAATGTCAACTATTTGAATTAAATAGCAGATGTATTAAGGTTTGTATGTCACATAACAATGTCAACTATTACATAGGAAATATAGAAAGGAACATGTATATATGTTATTCAACAATGTCACCAATTTGAATTACATAGAAGACGCATATAGCCTTATATTTTATCTAACAAGGACGCCTATTTGAATCACATAGTGGATATATAATGGAATACATTTTATCTAACAAGAACGCGAGTTGAATTCCATAGTCGATAACAGAGAATCCTGTGTTCCGAGCTCCAGATAACATTTTGAGCAATTTAGTTTTTACTCGAAGGTCTCTATTGTAATTGGGTTATTACATTTTTCATTGGGTAACCAACCATTTTGTCACTCATCTTTTCATCACTTTATTGGGTTTTTTCCCAAAATGAGTAAGCATTTTGAGATTTAAGAAAATTGAAATAATGTTTTAGATGTATATAACGGTTCTAAATATATGACTCGGAAAGTAAATTAGCTCGTAATTGTGTTTCGGAAATTAACTCTTCTGTAAGATTCATTGGGTATTTACGCGTGCTGTTTTCAAACAATTGAGGTTTTTTATTGAAAGAATTCGTTTCTGTACGCAAGCAAATTGAAAGTAATTGGGTTTTGAATAGTTTTCGGGGTATTTTACGCAAATACGCGGCTTATCTGTAGCCCTGACAGTGTTGTTTAATGTGAAAAATATCAACAAAGTCGTATTTTTGCGGTATTTGACGGGCCTTTAGCGACGTAAAACGATTTCGTTCCCACAAATATGTACTTTCTCAGTATATACCCTAAGAGACATAGTAGTTCAATGGCAGGAAATGGCTTCCTGAAAACCTCTCAAATCACTCTTTTCGGTACAAATTAGCATTACATAGATTCAGTGTTTTGATAAGAGCAACATATGCAATTGTTGAAAAATATAAAATTGTTGAAATGGACGAAGTCAACTTTCCTTTGAAATGAACACATCTGATATCCTTTTTAAATGGTTGTAATATGTGAGTGAGTGAGTGAGTTGGGTTTAACGCCGCTTTTAACAATATTCCAGTTATATCGCGGCGTGTCAGCTTAATGTGGGAGGAAAGCCCGAAGTGATGCAGGTCTAAGACGTTTACCACTTCGGTGAAACCCACGAGCACGGGTATGGTGCTGACAAACCTAGAAAACATAATCGGGGCGAACCGGGATTCGAACCCACAATCATAGGTTTCTGGCGTGCCCACGGGACGCAACTCTGCACAGCGAATCGCGGCGCCTTAGACGATTGGGCCACCCGTGCCCCCTGTAATATGCATTCCGGGGATAGTATTACATATTATTACGCTTGTAAACATCAAGAAACCTAACACTGATATAAGATTAGAAAACGAGGACTCTTTTCGTTATGGCCTAATGTAGCCAGGGGTTGAGACATGACTTACAGCATGGCGTATGTCCTAGGAAACGCAAGCATTAAGAATGTTGAAAGTGTCCACCTACCTGTTCACCTTGGTAAAGGCGCTCAAGCACCTCCATCAGAGAGTTACTGTTATTCATCCATGTGTCCTACCAGCACCTGTCAACAGAAGACGTCCTGGGTAATGGATCTGACACTGACATATGTAGGTATCCTGGAACAGACAGTCCATTGATCTTCCTGTGTTTGCTGATAACGACAAACGTTCCGAAGCCATTAGTGTTGAAACGCAGCTACACAGATGTAAAAAATATACCCTCAATCAGGGCATTTGGGCGGTGATGTTTAGCCCTGGTTTAGGATAAATGATGTGAATACTTGCTTAAGGTATTCCTTACGTGTGCGGGGTAAGACGTTAAAGGTTTAGTGATTGTTTGGTAAATTGATGGAGTTTCGTAATAACATATTTACACTGACTAATGCATCACTGAACTGCGATTTAACATCTCGCAGGATTCCGGTAGGATGAAAGCACGTCAGCCCCCGTAGCATCAAATGTCACAAAAAATCAATTTCATACGTTTTCTACTCCAAATCGGATTGAAAAAAACAGAATATATAATTACAAAAACGCTGTGCATCTACTTATGCTTGTGTGTCCGTTAAGGTTAGCACGGACATAATATTTGATCATGAAACCTTAAAAGTGCAAGACTGTTCCAATTCAAGGTGGGTCGAGAAACTAAAAAAATCGTTTAATAAAATCACGGCGTGTAAACGTCTGGGTTCTAACTGCGTGACTATTGTACAGTAACACCACCTTGTGTTATAGATGCGATCCGATTAAACCTGGTATGTTCATCGAATACATGTTCAAATGAGTGAGTGAGTGAGTTTGATTTTCCGCCGCTTTTAACAATATTCCAGCAATATCACAGCGAGGACACCAGAAATGGGCTTCACACATTGTACCCATGTCGGGAATCTAACCCGGGTCTTCGGCGTGACGAGCGAACGCTTTAACCACTAGGTTACCCGACCGCCCCTGTTCAAATGAGGTCGACCCTTGAAGTTCAAGGTTAGAATTGGTCTTCATACACAAACACAAACATAAACCTAAACGTAAACATTAACACAGACATAAACATAAACAAACACAAGGGTTAACACACCAAGCCACACACGCATGCAAACATAAACACCCACACATAAACACATACATATATAAACACAAACAAACATAAGCACACACAGTCATACAAACATAAACACACAGACATACACACACACACACACACAAAACAATACACACACAAAGACACACATACACACACATGAACACACACAAATTTTTACTGCAAGTCCCCTAGACTCGAACGTAGATGGCCACAGGTACATCTATGCAATTTAGCCCTATAAGTTTAGGTAGAGGTAAATTGATCTGTTTCTCGAGGCTTTGTAGCAAATCATAAGGGAAATTGTGAAAATGGATAGTCTCACTATCTTTATCACTGTATTCACGTGCGGTATCTCTAGTTACTTCAGTGAATGAACATACGTCGATTATTTTAAGAATGTCATTGTTTGATAAAGCGAGTGCTACCCTTGAGTGTTTCCATATCGTAAATATCACATATGGAGAATAAAATATGTATTGTGCCGGTAAAAAGCCTCGCACTTTACAAATTGTATTCCCGGTTTTTAGTATACGGAAGCACACTCTGCTGGTAATATCTGTACGAAGAAGGACACGAAAATCCTCGTTTCATTTTGCTGATAGACACAATCTAGTGACCCTTTTGACTGAGAAGTACATATATGATCCCATGAAATTTAACTAAGAGTGGCGGTCGGGTAGTCAAGTGGTTAAAGTTTTCGCTCATCACGCCGAAGATCCAGGTTCGATTCCCGACATGGGTACAATGAGTGAAGCCCATTTCTGGTGTCCCTCGCCGTGATATTGCTGGAATATTGCTAAAATCGGCGTAAAACCATACTCACTCACTAACCAAGAGTGAGTGAGTGTGTGAGTTGGGTTTGACGCCGCTTTGAACAGTATTCCAGTTATATCACGGCGTGTCAGCTTAATGTGGGAGGAAAGCCCGAAGTGATGCAGGTCTCAGACGTTTACAACTTCGGTGAAACCCACAAGCATTGGTATGGTAGTGACAGATTTAAACCAAGAAACATAATTTTGGCGAACCGGGATTCGAACCCACAATCATAGGTTTCTGGCGAGCCCAAGGGACGCAACTCTGCACAGCTAATTGCGGCACCTTGGATAATTGGACCGTGATGCAACAGAAATGTTGTTCAAGCAGGCATACAAGTTTAAACAAGTATTTGTCACAGAGTGACGAAATATCCCCCGCCACATACACCATAGTACCAAATATGAAGACAATCCAGCGATTAGTTCTTGAGATATTGTGGCAACACCGTTTTCCAACTCCAAAAACAGATTTGCCTGCTGTGACCTTGAAAATGGGGTCAAGGTCACCAAATCTGACAGGTGTATGCGGTGTCTGTATATACACTATAGTTCCAAATATGAAGACAATCCAGCGATTAGTTCTTGAGATATCGCGGCAACACCGTTTTCTAACTCCAAAAGCAGATTTGCCTGCTGTGACCTTGAACATGGGGTCAAGGTCACCAAATCTGACAGGTGTATGCGGTGTCTGTATATACACTATAGTTCCAAATATGAAGACAATCCAGCGATTAGTTCTTGAGATATCGCGGCAACACCGTTTTCTAACTCCAAAAGCAGATTTGCCTGCTGTGACCTTGAAAATGGGATCAAGGTCACCAAAACCGACTGGTGTCTGTATATACACCATAGTTCCAAATATGAAGACAATCCAGTGTTTAGTTCTTGAGATATCGCGGCAACACCGTTTTCCAACTCTAAAAGCAGATTTGTCTGCTGTGACCTTGAAAATGGGATCAAGGTCACCAAAACCGACTGGTGTCTGCGGAGTCTGTATATACACCATAGTTCCAAATATGAAGACAATCCAGTGTTTAGTCCTTGGGATATCGCGGCAACACCGTTTTCCAACTCCAAAAGCAGATATGCTGCTGTGACCTTTAAAATGGGGTCAAGGTCACCAAAACTGACTGGTGTCTGCGGAGTCTGTATATACACCATAGTTCCAAATATGAAGACAATCCAGTGTTTAGTTCTTGAGATATCGCGGCAACAAACAGGTGGGACGTACGGACGGACGGACGGACGGACGGTCGTGAATACTATATCCCCCGCTTCGCGCTTTCGCGCGGCGGGGGATAACAACACAAGGTGTCTTACCATTTATTCAGCGTCCCTGTGCAGCATTGTAAAACCCGTGCGAAGGTTCTAAATTTACGTGTAGCACTTAGTGTAGTGCCAGCACTCGGACTAATATCCAGCCCCCCTCGATTTCAATATACGGTCAATCAGAGTGATTGAGTGAGTTGGGTTTAACGCCGCTTTTAACAGTATTCCAGTTATATCGCTGCGCGTCAGCTTGATGTGGGAGGAAAGCCCGAAGTGATGCAGGTCTCAGACGTTTACCACTTCTGTGAAACCCACGAGCACGGGAATGGTGCTGACAAACCTGGAAACATAATCGGGGCGAACCGGGATTCGAACCCACAATCATAGGTTTCTGGTATGCCCAAGGGACGCAACTCTGCACAGCGAATCGCGGCGCCTTAGACGACTGGGCCACCCTTGCCCCCGGTCAATCAGAACACATATGTTATATCATTATCGACGACGGAACTACATCAAATCCCACATCGCCCTTCCCCCGCATCCTAATTACCCCCGCAGTGCTGTCACATAATGCTATCTCAGTGTATATCGTATACATGTATATAGCTGATCGATTACGGCACCCACTGAAGCAGCAATGATGAGTTTTAAGGAACATAAAACCTGTTTGCTCTGTATTTAAATTCGATAAATGGATTTTGTCAGCTCATTTAAAGAGAACTGTGTCTTGTGTTATATCTGTCAGACCAAACGAAGAATTGTCTAATTTCAAAATATTAATATAATGTGACTGGAACATCTGATATCGTACACCCGCCTATAAAGTAACATACGGAATACGATAACTTGTTGTCGTATTGAAATATAGAGAAATTCTATTTTTCAAGTCTGTCAAGAGGAAAGAGTCCAAACAAATTGGATTTGGTTCAGGTTATAGGTATCACTCAACGATGTAACATTGCAGTGTCAAACAGCAATCCTGACAGTGAGTCGTTGTGCAAATGAAAGGCCAGTACACACGGCTTTGTTGGCCGTGAAGATCCGGGGTGGAATAGGTCTTCGGTAACCCATGCTTGCCGTAAAAGGCGATTATGCTTGTCGTAAGAGGCGACTAACGGGATCGGGTGGTCAGGCTCGCTGACTTGGTTGATGCATGTTATCGTATCCCAATTGCGTGGATCGATGTTCATGATGTCAATCACTGAATTGTCTGATCCAGACTCGATTATTTACAGACCGCCGTCATATAGCTGGAATACTGCTGAATGCGGCGTTAAACAACAAACAAACAAACAAACAAGCCTTTGTGGGCCATGGAAGCTATGAAGTGACCATTTTATGTTTTCAAAAAATACTTTCAGTTTCACAAGTATTCATTTTGTCGAAAAAAGTAGTGCACTCTACCGGGGGATCTTTATCGGATTTCAGTTAGCAACGCGCGGAGTATCCAACTTACGTTACCAGGTTGTAGTTAGGCAAATGAATTAATCTAATCAGCCAACACTCTACCTTGGGACCCAAGCCATATCAGATATAATTAGTGCTCGTTTACCAAGTCATTAGACCTCCTGTGCATTAGCAAAATTCCCCGTGAAAAAGTGAGTTTGAAAAAGCTTGTACGGACTTTCTTCAAACTACATAAGATTAATTCGTTAATAGAGATAGCCAACCCCAAGGATCGTAAAGGGGTGAGTCATTGGCAAGTAGTATACAACCTTATCGAGGAGGGTGTTTGGTCGGAAAGGGATACCTTACCCTAATGATAGAAGTTGAGGCCGGTAAAGTTGGTTGGTTGGTTTGTTGTTTAACGCCGCACTCAGCAATATTCCAGCTATGTGACGGCGCTCTGTAAATAATCGAGTCTGGACCAGACAATCCAGTGATTAATATCATGAGC